CCGACCACCAGCGGTCCGAGGACCACCGGTTGGCGACCGCTGCCCTAGAGCACTGGTTTGTAAACTGTAGCAGGTTTATAAATCCTTTGAGAATCTGATCAAAGGTCTGGGCCGCATCCCAGGGACAAGACACGTGTACACATGCACACCAAATTCTACACCAGCTTCAAGGAGTCCAAAGATTCCTTCACGTCCATCCATGGACAGGCCAGGGGCTCACAGGCTCCAGCTTACGAATCTGTGTCCTAGAGGATGGAGACTTCCTGTTGTTGGAACAGCCTAGGAGTCACTGAGCCTAGAAATTGAATTCTCATCCCAAGACAGGATGGTCATTTCAGGTCATGTCTGTGCTACTCCAGGGGAGCCATGGAAGAGCTTATACAAATAGGAAGCAGCGGGGAGGAGAGAAATTAAAATGTAGCAATCATGGAGTAGGGGTATTTAATCTCTTTTAAGGCTTATGATAGGCGCCTGCTGGTTTCCCCCCTGATATCCCCTGACACCTACTGACAGGGTATTTGCAGCCCCACACAGGGACTCAGGGCCCTGTGACAGGAGGAGCACCGAGGAGGTCCATGATCGTCTTGAAACCATAAACAGCAATAGGAAACCACTGGAGGCAGAGTCAAGCTGTGCGACGTGCCTGTGGTTGGTGGCCATACTGCTTTTTGTTTATAGAATTTGCTGTTCTTTTTATGGCAGGTTTGGTAGGGTTGTTTTTTCCTTGTTGATGGAGATTAGCAGCATAAATCCATTGATGGCAGTGTGCAATCCCCCATAAACACTTCCGATTGTTGCTGTTGGTGAGTGCTGTGTCGATGTCAGGTTCACTCAATGCTCTGCTCACCCAGGCCAGTGGCTTCTCCATCCAGATAATGGACTCCAAGTAGCCAACCCTCCTTTTTAAGACTCAATCATTTGGGGGGTTCAGTGAGGTGAGGCAGAGTTGATGTTGAGGGGAACAGATGTTTAATCAAGCCTAGAGATACTAATGACGAGAACAAACCACACATTGTACTATTTTCAAGTGAAAGTCTTCTTAAAAGACTGTGGCAAGAAGCAAGCCCTGATGTGAAGGATTTTTTAAATAGCTTTTTATATTCTTATCTAAAGCATCTTCAATTAACAATTTTGTATAATTAACATTTTAGCTCTACAATACACAGTGTATATAGAGTTACAGCATGGGGAGCCTTTGTAATTCTGATTCCCTGACATTGTCACTTGTAGGTATGTATCCCCATATTGAGTATTTGAGGTCTTCCGGGAATGTCTCCACATTTTTCTTGTCTTTCCAAACATCTGGGCAAAAAGAAGTCAAACTTTATTTAAAATGTTGATCCCAAGAATTCAGGCCTCTCTGCCATCCCAAAACTAATCCAAGAATCAGCAACTTAATAAAAAATGCAGTAAATTAACACCTCTAGACAAGAGCAGAGTTCATTCAGAGCTGGGGTCTGCCTGGCTGAGCCAGGACTCTCTCCATTTTAATAGTTTAATAAAAATTAGCATAATTAACGAACATCTGTATGATCCAGAGTGGTGCAATTTGGCACTTGGAAACGAGGGCTTAAACATGATTGCTGTGAGTTTAATGTTGTTTTAATTCTTTTTGGCACTGTGCAGTGAAATAAACGTTTGGTGGTGATAGTTCTCGGCCGGATCTCATTTGCATTTTTCTCCCTTTGATTATGAGCAATTGTGGACTCCCCAGCAATTCATCAAAGTAGAAATTATTTTAAAATACCTCGTGGTGTTCAGGCTGGGCTGGAGCAAAGCATGGGGGGGGGGGGGGGGCAGTGAAAGGGAAGGCTAGAAATGTTCCATTCATGCTTTAAACATCTCAGCCCTGCAGCCCTTTTCGGGTATCCAGCCAAGGGATGAAATCTGGAAAAGACAGTCAGATCTCGGGACCTGTAGGTGCTTTGATTAAGCTCCTAGGCTCCCACAGCAGGATACATCTGGTCTCTGAGACTATGCCATCCTCCTTACACTTCTGCCTGCATTTTTGTTTTGAAGGGCAGAGAGTTGATTTCACTCATTTCAGTTCTCACCACTGTGGTGAGGCTGCCACATCTGTGATGGACAGGGTCAGTGTTCCCCTCGAGCAAGAGCACGGTGACTGGGAGCCTCGTCTTGGCAGGTGTCCTGCCGTGCCTCATCTGCTTCCTGTTTGCACCCTCTTCGAGCTGACGGTGCACCTTCCCAAGGCCTGGTCCTACTCCTGGCACTAGGCTAACGGGGGATGTCAGAGTCGGGAGTCGTGAATAGTCCCTGCGGAGAGAAAGTCCTCTCTGAGCCCCGCAGGTGATGAAGATGACAGCATCTGGTAGGTAGAAGGCCGCTCTTCACACATGTTTAAGCAAGCCGGCTGTGATCAAAAGACTGTCAGACATCATGCCCTCCCCACCTGTGAGATAACGGAAGAACTGAAGCTAGAGTTTTTATGAGTTCCAATGAGAGAAGACAACAGAGGATGTGTTTACCCTTTGCAACAAGGCCCTATAGACATGGCCATTGCAGTGACATGCTAACACAAGACAATACTGCGAGAAAACTTACGGCAGAAACTGCCCTAGGTGTTGGGAGGTGGACCGGAACATAACTTGTACCGATAGGAGCTTTAAAATGTTCTAACAGCTCAGGCTAAGGAATTCTGGGTAATTTCCCATAAGGCAGTGCAGACTGTAGGGGAGTTGGCCTTGTGGGGGAAGCGAATAAGGTCTGGTGGGAAGAGGCAGTAGACACATTGATTTATTTCAGACTGATTTTTAAAGATAATTCTCTGTTCCTTTTAGGGTCAGCTCAATGGTCTCACTTCTTATGCCTTTTGAGTCTGTCTTCATGGTACTTAGGGAGCCATTTGGGGAAAATGTCTCCAAAGGCCGTTGCTCTCTTCCTGCCACAACCAGTTCAATCACCAGGAGAATATTTTGCAGTTAGTTGTAACTAAATCTGCTCAACTGAGAGTACAAATCCCCACTGCTCCCTTCATTTCTTCATAACCTCATTGAACAAGTGTTTTTTTGGCCCCATTCTGTGCTGGGTACCACACTGAGTGCTGGGAATACAACAGCAAACAAAACCAACAAGGTCCCAGCTCTCACAAAACTCTCCACCTAGTGACTGGCACTGAGGCAAAAGCAGACCCATACAAGACAGCGGGATGAGCTCATTTCCAGGGAAGCGTAGGGTACAGCCCTGTGGACCACATAGTCGGAGGGCCCCCACGCAGTCAGAGAGTGAGTGGCAAGGAGAGGTTTCTAGAGAATCTAGAAAGACTCAGGAATTGAGATCTGAGAGCTGCTTAGGAGTGAGCCCATGAAAGGGAGGAGGGAAGTAGAGGCTAACCAGCAGAGGAAAGGCTCCAAGATGAGAGAGGCTGTAGCCATGGGAGCAGATGAGACAAGTTCTGTTTGACTAAGGGTCCACTAGACTTAGGGGGTGAGTGAAAGTGCTAGGCAGTGATCGGGAACAGGTCATGCAGGGCCTTGTCCACCTTGTTAAGAAGTTGGCAATAAATAGGCAGTGGGAGCCCACTTAAAGGTTTTGAGCAGGGCAGTGACATTTCAGAAGGATTCTGGCTGCAGAATGAAGACGAGATGGGAGGAGAATGAGAATGGAGATACAGAAACCAATTTGGAGGTTATTTCTATAGTCCTCCTGAGAGACGACTGTGACATGACTCTAGAATATTGTCAACGGGCATGGAGAGAAGTGGGTGGATCCCAGTAACATTTTGGAAAGAGAACTGACAGGACTCAAGGGCTGATTGGAAAAGGAGGGTGAAATTGGAAATGACTCTCGGGTTTCTGGCTTGAGTAACTGAGTTCATAGTGGTGCCATGTACTGAGATAGAGGAAACAGGAGGGATAGAAAGTGTGGGAGTGGGAATGGAAATAGAAGCAGGGTGATGGGTTAAATTTAGGATATATTGAGTGTGAACAGCTTGGCATACGCTTGGGTATTGGAATCCATCATTTAGATCTGTGCTGGAGCTATGGTTGTGAGTCATTTGCACAGATATTAGTAGCTAAACCACAGAGGTATGTAAGATTGCTCGAGGAAAGTGCATCAAGTCAGAAGGCAGGACAGAGCCCTGGAAAACAACCACATTAACCTCAACCCGGGCATGTGCCCTGGCCCGAGGACCTCTTGGTTCCTGGGTTGATGTTCAATCGCTTAGCCTGCCTGTGATTATTAATGTACCTGCCAACCTCCCATCTCTAATGTTTAGAGCACCTACCACGTATCAGTTACTTTGAATTGTTTTTACTTCTGTGGCGTCACTTATATCCCCACCACATAGGGGAAGGGTGATAGTCTCCCTACTCTTACAGAAGAGGAGGTTAAAGCTAGGAGAGCTTAAGGTCATATGGCCACTAAATGACCAAGTGGGGATTAGATCCCTGTCTGTCTGACTCTATAGCCCATTACTCTCTGCTGTAAGCTCCCAGGGAGCAAGCAGTGTTCTGAGTCATCATTATACATCTCATGGGAACTCAAACAGCACTCTGCACATAGAAGATGCTTGGTAAACACTGATTTGAACTATGACCTGACTCCCTGAATATTTTTAGTGTTCTGGCATTTTAGGGTGTGCCCAACTTCCTCTGAGAAACCATTCAACTATGGTTAAGAAAGAAAGAAAGAGAGAGAGAGAGAGAGAGAGAGAGAGAGAGAGAGAGAGGAAGGAAGGAAGGAAGGAAGGAAGGAAGGAAGGAAGGAAGGAAGGAAGGAAGGAAGGAAGGAAGGAAGGAAGGAAGGAAGATAGATGCTCTTTATGTTCAGCAAGGCATCAAATGTGCTAAGTTTACAATGTAGACAGTAAGATGGCAAAATGAAAACAGTTTGCTTTCCTCCTCTAGATGACTTCTTTAAATTTAATAATCCCATCAAGGGTGTTAACCACCCCACAGAACCACCCATGCAGTCACCATAAGAGATTACCTGAAGCATGGCCAAATTCCAACTGCAACCATTCTCTCTTCATTTTTCAGGAGCATAACATGTATGGCTGGTGGGTAGGAGAACTAAACAGCCTCATTGGGATTGTTCCAAAGGAGTACCTCACAACTGCCTTTGAAGTAGAAGAAAGATGAAGCCCAGGTATCCGAGCTATTGCCAATGAATGTGTTGGCCATGCCTTTGTTTCTCTGTGAAGGATGAGAGTTGCCAGTGAAGTAGCTTTTCTTAATTTCCAAAGGTGATGCTAATAATTCACCACTGAAAGATGATGATTCTGGAATTGTTTTTCCTAAATTAGGGGACTGTGTCAGTTATGATTAAGTTCAACTACATGTGACAGAAAACTCAAAATAACTGATTTAATTAACATAGAAATTTATTTTTCTCTTCTGTAAAAACCCAGAGGTAAGTAATACAAGGTAACTAGGTCCCAGGTACCTTGCTTTTTTGTTGTTGTTGTTTGTTTTTGCTCCACTGTGTGTGGCCAACATTCCTAAGGTTACCTTGTGGTCCAAAATGGATGTTCCAGCTCCAACTATCATGCCTGTATCCTACCCAGCAGGAAACATAAAATAAAAGGAAACGGGCACACCTTCTCCTTTTAAGGACACTTCACAGATGTTGCACTTACCACTTCTGCTTACATTCATTTGGCCAGAACTTAGACACACAGACAGGAAGACAAAGCTGCAAAGAAAACTTTATTGTATCTAGCTTAAAAGTGGAAGATGGGTTAATTAATAAAAGAAAAAGGGGCCCTAACCGGTTTGGCTCAGTGGATAGAGCATCGGCCTGCAGACTGAAGGGTCCCAGGTTCGATTCCGGTCCAGGGCATGTACCTTGGTTGCGGGCACATCCCCAGTAGTGGGTGTGCAGGAGGCAGCTGATCGATGTTTCTCTCTCGATGTTTCTAACTCTCTATCCCTCTCCCTTCCTCTCTGTAAAAAATCAATAAAATATAAAAAAAATAAAATATAAAATAAAAAGGGGAGAATGGATATGGGGGACAACTAGGAATCTGTGCACAAGCATGGGTCTGTATACCAGCTCGCAAATCCAGGCATGGCACTACTTCCCCCAAATGCCCATGTATTACAATATGATTGGCCAAGATTAGGAGCCCAGTATGAGGATTCCTAGGGGACATAAATTAACTTTTAGGTAATAAAGAATATGGCTTGCATTTTATGAGCAAGAACCACATCATATTTTAAAATAGTTGGGTAAGTGCTTGCTTTGGGTAAGGTAATGTTGCAATCACTTTGGCATGGAATGGGTTTTGTTTAGAATTAGGATGGTGATAGAGGGCACCCAAAGCTAGCATGATGTCACTAGCTCCATCTTCCGGCCTGAAGTGGGAGCCGATTTTATTGGTGGGGGTGAGGGATGACATGTGTGACAGTAATACAAACTGTCCTTGGAATCTTCCAGACCAGGCGGATTCTTTTAGGAAAATACATAAGGATAGATCATACTTTCAGATGCCCTTGTACAACCGTAAAGCACCAGCGCAGACCTGTCGCACAGGTGTGACTTCATGACTTTCCCAATGAGGGCTCCATTTCCTGGCCAGGAATGCAGAAGGGTTGGAATTTTTCTCTCAAATCTAAGCAGATTCACAGGTTTGACTGATTTATTTAATGACAAAGTTGTTTATCGCCTCATTCTCTTTGACCCAACAATTCCACATCTAGGAGTTTATCCTACAGCTACACTTCCGCACATGCAAAATGTTCATCACACAAGGTTATTTGTTTGTAATAACAAACCATTGGAAATAAACTAAATGTTCAATAGAGAACTAGCCAAATAACTGTAGTACATTCATAGAATCGAATACTATGCAACAGTAAAAAAGAAAAAAGAAATTCTCTGCATTGATATGGAATACATTCTAAAATATGTTGGTAAATAAAAAATAAAAAAGTAGCAAACAAAGGTAGGCCTAACTTACTCCACTCATGTAAAAAGGAAGTTTCCAATTGCTTATAAATGCACTAGAGGCCTAGTGCATGAAATTCATGCACTGGTAGGGTCCCTAGGCCTGGCCGGTGATCAGGGTCGATCTATGGCGCAACTGGTGGGGTGATTGGGGCCCCGCACCCACCTTGGCCTGGCACCGCCCACTTGCCAGCCCACCTACCCCCGCCCCCGCTGGTCAGGGCCTACAGGCTGGGAGCAACTCCTGCATTGAGCGTCTGCGCCCTGGTGGTTAGTGCATGTCATAGTGACCAGTCTTTCCGCCCGTCATTCTGCCATTTGGCCTATTTGCATATTAGGGTTTTATATAGATAGATGAGATGCTCTGGAAGGAAAAGAAAATGCTAACGCTGGTTGCCTCCAAGGACATAGAAGCTGTATGACTGTGAGACAGGGAGACACTTTTTACTCTGCACCCTTTTATACCTTCTATATTTTTTTCTTTTATTATATATCTTCTATATTTTAAATCAGACATGCACATGTATGTGTTTTTCCTCCTGTAGGACATGTATCCTTCTCTCTAGCCTGCCTTTATGAAGAAACTGATCAAGAGCTCCCACTGCCCACCTCTGCTACCCCACCAGCACCACGGACTCCTCTCTTTACTGAAGAGACCCACATCTCTGACACCTGTTAGTAACTGTAAACCCTCAAAGCACAAGTGGGAAGAGGCATATTCAGCAGACCTGTTACTACGCCTGCCTTGTCACAGCTCATTCCATCTCTAAACACGCCCGCACAGCCATGTCCGCCCTTCCCACAGGCTTGTCACAGAGCAGGCGAGAGAGAAGGAAACCTCCTGTCGAAGGTTTTTCCTTTGGAGAAGGGAGTCTCTGCTTGTTTTGTCTGATTTGAAAAGCACAAATAAATTTTTGATTTGGCTCCTGGCCAATAGTGATGGTGCTGAGTTTCTTTTGTAATGACATCAAAATGCTGGTTCTGGGCATTCTCGCCAACTCCATACAAAGTAGGAAGGGATAGCCAGAGAGAAAACACAAGCCCAGAGAGAGAAGGGGACTTGCAGTTGTCTTTCGGGGTAGGAGCATCTCTGGAACCTAGGCCTGCCTGCTTGGCCTTTCAGACGTCCTTTGGGTACCTCCTTGGTTATTTTTCTTATGTGCTGAATCTCTTTGAAATGAGACAGGGCTAGAAGAAAGTCCTTGACATCAGCACATTGGAGAGTTCCCTTTCCCCCTCAGTTAACTACCCAACGGAGTCCTGTACGGTAGCAAGTCCTAGATAGGGGCCAAGCAAGAACTTTGAAGAGGGCTTGTGTATACCCAGCCCTGTTCCTTTTCCTGTTGCCTGTACCTAGCACTCAGGTTATCTGTACCTTGAAGAGGCAGCAAAACAAAGTTACTAAGAACATAAACTCTGGAACCAGGCAGCCTGGGAATAAACCCCAGTTCCCCATTTACTATCAGAGCAAGTTACTTGACCTTTTATGCTTCAGTTTCCTCACCTTAGAAGAGGTATACTCCCTCTCACCAGGTCATTAGGACGATTAAAAGAAAAACACATGCTAATGTACTTAAAACAATGATGGGCACATAGTAACTCCTCAGTAAGGGTTAGCTGTTATTATTGCCTGACTATCTACACAAGAAATTTTGGAAAATGGGCAACTGAGCAACCAAAGAAATTTTCTTTCATGTAAATTACAGCATAGGGAATATAGTCAATAACATCATAATAACTATATATGGGGCAGGTGGATACTTAAAATATGGGGCGGGGGACCACTCTGTAAAGCACATGATTGTCTAACCACTATGCTGTACATCTGAAGCTAATACAGAATAAGATTGAATGTCAATTGTAATTGAAAAAGTAAAAAGGGAAAAAAAGAAAATTTATCTCTGAAACTGCCTATCCAGAGCAGTCCTGGATGGGTAGTAGCCTTCCTCACCTCTATGACAACCATATCATAGCCCTGCAGAAAGACATCCATCTCACACCATCCAGAGAGAGAAACCGGGGAGCAAACAGGAACATTGTCAGTGGATTCCATGTTTCTCAAAAGATCCTATGCCAGCTCTTCATTTCCAGATGTTCTGACCCAGGAGTAAAAAACAATGAAGTTTTTTGTGTATGTGCTGTAAAAAGAGGTAAGAAAAGGGGAGGATTTAGGTCTGGGAGAAAAAATAGAAAAGAGTTAAAAGGCAATACTGAACTGTCCATAAGGTCCCCTTCATTTTACACAGGGTGCTAACGGACAAGGAACCACTAGGTGGCAGCATATGAGCAGATGAACCAAAGAGAACCAATGGCCTCCAGCTTTAGGAACCTTTGCACCCATCCCAACCTACAGGTAAGGACAATGGGCATTGTTCTAACATGTTTAACAGAGCGAGCAAACAGGAACCCCTCTATGACCTTGATTGTTCCCTCCCTGGATTGTTCCCTCCCTGGAGAACCCCTAAGGACCCAAGTCGGGAAGGCTGGGAGGCTGGGAGGCTGAGGAGAGAATACCATGTGGCACTGCTCTGATTGAGCAGGTATCTGGGGCAGGGGCAGGAGGAGGAGGAAAAAGGGGCCAAGTCAAGGTAACTTCACTCTCTGCACAGTTCAAGGCTCTCTCAATAGCATAGTCATTGGCTTCCGGCATTTAAAACAAAATCCCCTTACTGCACTAGTCCCTTCTATATCTGTAGACCAGAGGAAACAACCATTGGCCAAACTGCAAAGGTAGGCACCACACTTGGACCGCTGACCCTTCTAGCTGTAAGCCTCAAGTGGAAAAAGAAATCAGATCAGCCCTGGACGATGTTAACAAATAGACTGATTGGAAACCTGGTCCGTAGACATCTGGCTATCTCTGCCATTGTTACATACAGGAGAAGATGGCGCAAGTTCGATGTGTTGATGAAACTATCTACGGGGCTGAAGGGCATTATCTGTTAGGGTAAAGTTCTAAAGGACACCTTTGGGAAACAACGGATTCCTACGGTCTTCCTGGAGATCATCCTCGCCTCGAAAAACTGCCCCCCACTCAGTATATCAGCCAATAGCCTCAGAAAGCAACTGGCTAATCAGGTTACCACTTCTCTGACTCCACTAACCAAATCCCCACCTTACTGCCTGTGACTAACTGGATAACTGGGGGTGTTAGACCACTTAACTAACCACATTAAATGTAGAACAGGTTCCTTTTTTTTTTTTTAAGAATGGGTTCTTCATAGCCACTAATTGATCTGGCATGTGAACTAGGAGAGGGTTAGAGGTGGGAGACTTTTTTTCCTTCCTTGATTTTATGTAAAGGAGGGAAAATAAGAAAGCTCTGATCCTAAATTTAAGAAGCAAATGTGTTATCTGCCTTTTACAGATAAATAATTTACACAGAACTTACTGACATCCACTGGACAATCTGACCTGGGGCTGGTGTAGTTTGGCCTGGATTGTCCAAACTAATATCTGAGAATACTAAATACTCTGAAAGCCATCTTTCAGCTACATTTCATTAAAACTACATTTTTCTAGTGTTTTTTTCTGTCATCCATATAGCAAAATAGCACAGACACTGTTTTGCAGTTACCTCAATATTACATTTCCCCACACAATGGCCTGTTCTATCTCTTAGAAGTCTGAATTTAATTCAAAACCAACTATATCTTTCCCTCTGGTGAATAAAAATGGGAAAGAGAATTCCTATTAAGTTTCATTTCCTAAACCCAGACAGTTTGATTCCATTTAAAGTGAAAGCAATGCCAAAAGGTAGGGCTGATTAGATGTCCTCCCTCCTGTTCCAGATAGATATTTTTTCTAAACCTAATATGTAAGGAATCGCCTCGATTTCACATTCTCATTAACTTTATTTTTTGCACTTTAGCTTGCTCAGTTGAGCTGCCTTATTTGTAACCAGTTAGTCTTGCCAAGTGGCAAAACTGAGCATCTGCAAGGTGGTGACTTCGACAAAAATCACACAAAATCTGCTGTAGGAGAGGAAATGAAAGGAGAGACTATTTATTTTTTTTAAATATATTTTTATTGATTTCAGAGAGGAAGGGAGAGGAAGTGAGAGATAGAAACATCAATGATGAGAGAGAATCATTGACTGGCTGCCTCCTGCATGTTAGACCGAGCCCGCAATCCAGGCATGTGCCCTTGACCGGAATTGAACCTGGGAACCTTCGGTCCACAGGCCGACGCTCTGTCCACTGAGCCAAACTGGCTAGGGCTGAAAAGACTCTTTAAATTCTCAGTCTGCTGCTTTGCTTGTTGAATCACTCGTAGTCTATTGCAGTTACACACCTCCAGCGACACATTTCCAAAGCCCACATTCCATGCCAGTCACTTGCGACACAGTAAAGCCGTGATGTCGATGCAAAGAGCAAGATGTGGGGTGGAGGGGACGCACTCATGCCTTTAAAAAGCAGCCTGAAAAAATGGAGTTGAAGCAAAGCAAGCATGAAAAAGAGAAGAAACCAAAGTATGTTATTTTCTGTTCTTCCTTGCATCTTAAGAACAAACACTCAGATGTCAGGGACAGAGGTGCTTTAATCTTTGGCCAAAAAGCTCTCCCGCAGGTCTCCCCAATGGAGTGGTGCTGATTTGCCAGTTCCCAGAGCACCAGCAAAACCGGCGGGGCTGACTTTAGAAAAAGCAGCCACTACACAGAGGATTATCCCTGCCGCACAGCTCAGTGACTCCAACTAATTTTCTAGTTTGTGGATTACCATCGTCCCTTGCTCCTCCCCTCCCTTCCCCTCCTGTCCAGTCATTTCATTTCCCATTTGAATTTACAGAAATTGGGTAGAGAGTTTGAAACTAAAAAGAGATTTTTCTTCTTCGAGGGATTTGAATGATTCTCCCTATTTCCCTATCACAAACTAACTGTGCAGAAAACATGGTGGGTTTTTTCTTTTTTCATTAGTATAAATCAATGACCATTCTTTTGCAACCCTTTGGAATTCAATTAATACATTTTTAAGATGTAGCCCATTTTGTGCAAAAATTATATATATATATCTCCAAAAAAAAACTATTGTATTAGAGGAAAGTGAGGTACAATTAGTAGGATGACCATATAATCTATTTTCCAGACAGACACTTTGCGGTGGTTCTCAACCTTCTGGCCCTTTAAATACAGTTCCTCATGTTGTGACCCAACCATAAAATGATTTTCGTTGCTACTTCATAACTGTAATGTTGCTACTGTTATGAATCGTCATGTAAATATCTGATATGCAGGATGGTCTTAGGCGACCCCTGTGAAAGGGTCATTCGACCGCCAAAGGGGTCGAGACCCACAGGTTGAGAACTGCTGCTTTAGAGACTGAAAGGGAGTTATTCATAATGACTCCAAGACACAGTTGTAAACCAGGATGAGGGATCACCCTAAAAATAAGGCAAAATGAGTTGCCCAGTCACCAGGGGAGTGGGTGGTAGATAGATTACCTAGCTCTCCTGGTACGATGTCCCTTCTAATGAAGTCCTCTCCTCTGCAGGCCTGGTATCTAGGCAAACCCTGCCAACTAGGCTTTCTTTGCCTGACGCCAGGCAGTTCTGAGAGGCCTGGTGTCTCTAGCTGCTTTGGGGCTGGCTGGCTGTCAGCAGCTGTGTGTGTTCAATTCCCTCCTGGGGCCCCATCACACCCCACCACCTCTCCACCTGGCAGAGTGCCACTGAGGGGAGCATTTTTGTGGCACTGAGCAATAATGTGCCACTTCCTGGCCTCCTGTGATGAGAGTAAGTGCCGAGAGGCTTCTAGTGCTGGTCCTCCACAAGGGCATCTGGCCCCACTGCTGACACTCTTAACCGGATGGTGAGCAGCTGGCCACCTTTTATCCCCCACATCTGATCCTGGAGCAGAAAGCACACTTCAAACACTTCCCTTTCCCCCACCATCAGACACATGTCCAGCACTGTGCTGCCTTGAGTCACCAAGGGGCACACGCACACCATTGCATCTACTGGAAGCTCCTACAGTAAGCACCCTCGCTGGGCCTGTCCTAACATATCCCCACCTCAGGAAAAGCATTACATTATGTTCCCTTTTTTCCCCCATTGACTCCCTCCAGCCTGCCCCCCCCCCCACCCAGGCCTTCAGCACCCTATTGTCTGTGTCCATGGGTTATGCATATATCATACAAGGTCTTTGGGGTGATTACCGCCCACCCGCCCATCCTTCCCTCTGAGATTTGACAGTCTGTTCCATACCTGGCAGTCATTTCTTTTTTAAAAAAATATATTTTATTGATTTTTTTTAGAGAGAGAGAGGAAGGGAGAGGAATAGAGATAGAAACATCGATGAGAAGAAACATCATCCATCGGCTGCCTCCGGCATGCCCCTGACAGGGGATCAAGCCCACAACCTTGGCATGTGCCCCAACCAGATTCAAACCAGTGGCCTCTTGGTGTGAGCTACACCGGCCCGGGCTTGGCGATCATTTTTTAAAACATTTCCAAGGCAATGCAATGGAAGTTTTGGGGGGCAGAGAGGGCAAAACTTGGAGCTTATTGCTTCACTCTGTTAGTACAGGGTTCGACCTGGCACAATTAACATTTTGAGCCAGATAATTTTATGTTGTTGGGGGCATTGTGGCATCCCTGGTCTCCAGACACTAGATACAAGTAGTACTCCCCTCCCCCCTCCACTCCACCTCCAGTTCTGACAAACAAAAATGTCCCCTGGAAACCAAATCACCCCTGGTTGAGAACCATTGTCTGGGGGCATTTGGGTGTGCTTAGGACCAAGCACAGAGAAACTGCCCTGCCTTTCAGAAGTTTGTGCTTGGATAGGCAGCAGCTTACGGCTAGACTGGGAAGACAGTGCTCATGCCATGAATTCCTCAGGGTTTAAGAACCACCAGCGAGCTTCTATGCTCCACAGACACCTCTGAGATTTGCTGGCCTGCACCACTGCTGATTTGCACTACAAAAATGACGTTTTCAAATGAATAAGCCCATACATGCTGGTTTAGAGCTGCATTACACCGACTCTCTCAGCAGCTCTGTGTACGTCCGTTTCCCTTTCCAGGGGCAGAAATCCCTGAAACTCTTGGTCAGGACCAAGTGAGATGCTGTGTACTGTCCTTCAGAGCAATGAACACAGGTTCATAGGAACAAGCGCGAAGGCGGCTGCAGCTCCAGGCGGCGGCTCCGCTTCCCCCGCCTCGCAGAGTGGGCGGGTGCAGTCCCCGGGCGGAAGCGAGGAGAGGCAGGACAGATTGGCATCTCCCGGTTGTGATTTTCCTGGTTCTTCATGTTAGTTTAGGGGAAAGTTTTCTCCTACAAAATGACTCCCGTGAGCTGTCAGGAACCAAAAGCACAACCACAACACAACCAAAACCCACTGCCTTCTCAGGAGGCTGAGATAAGATGAGGGTCCAGTGCCTTTGTTGTCTGCGCCCGCACAGGCCAGACAGGAGGGCCATCGCTGGCCCCGCTGCCAGCCAGAGCCCTGTCGAAGCTGCCTCCCGCGGGCCCTGAATCTGAGGCACCTGGAAGGGTTATTAGCAGGATTGGAACTCATCCCTCTGCTGGGACTAGATCATAATTACAGTAATTTTCTAACAGAGCTCAGCAGTAGGACTGTTTAATCAGCATCTGACTCCCTTGTGCTCCCAGCCCTCATCACTCAAGGAGAGGAGTGGGATGGCTCTTAAAGAGACAGTGCTCGCCTTTCAGCATTTGGAACAGATGTGCCCTAATTGGTAGAATATATCTAAGTCTCATATGGGCAGGTTGCACTGTCTCCAACAAACCGCCTCGGGCTCTCACTATCCTGGGCCTTCTGCAAGGGACTCGGGTGGGGATGTCGGGAGGCCTGGCTTCCCACACCAACATGGCCACCAGGGAGGGGACATACACAGGGCTAGAGCACTCGCGGAAGGACCTAAACTAACTGCCCCTGCCCTAGCCGGTTTGGCTCAGTGGATAAGAGTGTTGGCCCACGGACTGCAGGGTCCTGGGTTCGAGTCCAGTCAAGAGCAATGTACCTCGGTTGCAGGCTCGATCCCCAGCCTGGTCAGGGCTCATGTGGGAGGCAACCAATTGATGTCTCTCTCACATCGATGTTTCTCTCTCTGTGTGTCTCTCTCCCTCCCTTCCACTCTCTCTAAAAATCAATGGGAAGATATCCTCGGGTGAGGATTAACAAAAAATTTATTTTAAAAAAAACTGCCCCTTCCAGATGGTATGAAGAAAAAAGTGACTGGCTGGAAGGACGGGAGGGAGGGACTCGACAGCCACAGATAGTAACTGTGGCTGGTGGCTCTCCATAACCTAGATTACAGAAGCACCTCATGTTCCTGCCCTTCCAGGGGGGAAATCCTTAAAGACTTTCAGGTGACCCCGTAATTCTCACTCTGGCTTTACCATCTCTCCCTGCTTACTCTTCAGGCCTCCCTTTCCCTGCTATGCAAGCACCTTGTTTTTTTCCTCCTCTGCTTGTGGAAGTGGACCAGGTTTCCCCTTAATGAAAAGGAAGCAAAATTATTCACTCTGTTCATTGAGTCAGGAGCACTGTCTCCTAAAAAGTGTGGCTCTTGTTATTCTTCTGAGTATAAATTGTCCATATTTATTGTATCTTGAGAGTTGAGGTTCCAGCACTCCAGTTCCAAAGCCAGCCATGACTAAGGTGGAACTGATTTTACCCAAGTTATTTCTCTAAGACAGCGGTTCTCAACCTGTGGGTCGCGACCCCTTTGGGGGTCGAACGACCCTTCCACAGGGGTCGCCTAAGACTATCAGAAAACACATATATAATTACATATTGTTTTTGTGATTAGTCACTATGCTTTAATTATGTTCAATTTGTAACAATGAAAATACATCCTGCATATCAGATATTTACATGACGATTCATAACAGTAGCAACATTACAGTTATGAAGTAGCAACGAAAATAATTTTCTGGTTGGGGGTCACCACAACATGAGGAACTGTATTAAAGGGTCGCGGCATTAGGAAGGTTGAGAACCGCTGCTCTAAGATGTTAGGACTGGCTCCTGCTGCCCGGCTGGAAGCCAGATGCATGCGTGCGGACTTGGGCTTTGCCGCAGTTCCTGAAACAGCTCCTTAGAAGAGCTGAGGCAGGTAGCAGGTGAGAGATAAGAGGTGGGTGGGGGGCTTCCATTATCGGTTAAGGAAACCCTCGGGAAGGAAGGTACAGTGGTTAGAACAGGAACAGGGACACTCGTCTACAGTTCAAAGGGTTACCTTGAGCTGGGCAACGTGCCCTCTACAGAGCCGGTCCCTGCTGGCAGAGGGCCACCCGGGAGGGGTGGCTTAGGATCACTGCCCCAGCTCGACTGAGGAAGTCACTATCTTGCACAACAGTGATTATCTGCTTGGCTTTAGCCGAGTCTCAGCTGGCTGCTCACACATAAACCCACAGATGCCACTCCAGCCGACTGAATGCTCCCGCGGCCTCCGAGAGGCAGGCCGGGAGCTGGTCTTTCCATTTCTACCTCCAACCCCACCTTGCTTCCTCCGGGCCCACTGTCCTCACCGGTAGGTGTTAAGAATATTCAGCAAGAGCTAAGGCATATAAACAAATTCACAAACTTAATGTCAAACAGTCACGATCACCTCCCAGGCAAAGCTACCAGAGAGGGTACGAGTTGCCTAGGACTCGGTGTGGATCGAAGGCCTTAGCAGTCAGAAAACAGAACCGTGGAGGAGCTCTGATTTCTAAGAGCAACTGAAAAGAGAAGGGTGGTTTTTTTCTCTTAGTAGTGGTGGTTTAAGATTAAAAAAAAAAAATCTGGGGGGAAACACCTTGTCTTATAGAGCTTGGAAAAGACCTCTCACATGAATATATTCTACCATCATCTAAAACATATTTATTTTTTCTAAAAGGGAAAGCTTTTTTCAAAAAAATATATTTTATTGATTTTAGAGAGGAAGGGAGATGGAGAGATAGAAACATCAATGATGAGAATCCTTGATTGGCTGCCTCCTGCACACCCCCTACTGTGGATCGAGCCCACAACCCAGGCATGTGCCCTTGGCCGGAATCGAACCTGGGACCCTTCAGTCCACAGGCCGATGCTCATGCTCAGCTCATCTCAAAAGTTTCCTCAGCTAGAAAATGAGTACAATACTTGCTCTGCCCTCCTCATTGGGCACCAAGGTCAAAAATGATGTATGTGAAACTTACGATTTTCATACAAGAAAACCCCCCTCCCCCTCCACCCTCCTGCACACATTTCCTTCCACCAAACAAAACCAAACCCATGAGTTTGGGATCGCTCATCCTGAGTAACGGATGACTGGGCTTGGGCCATGGAAGTAGCTGTTGGAAGAATGGTGACTACATCAGGCACAGAACCTCCCTCAATCCTGAATTCTAACAAAAAAATACTTTCTTTCTACAAAACAGCTCAGTAGGCCACAGAGGTCACCTGCCATGGGAACTAGCCCTGAGTACACACAGGGACAGAACACACCACGATAAAGGCAAATAGCATTGCCTGGATGAAGGAGGAAATCCATTTTTGCTGTTTTTCTGCTAACTGCAGGCCTGTATTATTAGAAAAATGTTTCCGTTCTTAGCACATCTCCTTCCATGGCCTACACTCAACTCTGCACCAGACAGTGAGGGGATGGTGCGTGGCCTTAGATTAACTGAGATGCTGTTATATACACTGCTGTTAATGGATCATTAAAAAAGCCAGGAGTCAGAAAAATTGCATTCGTGTCTTTGAATGGCTCCTGCTGTCCCAGCAGCCTACCCTGCTGGCAGAACTAGCTGCTGAGCACCAACTCCAGACGAAAAGGAGCGAACAGAAGAAGGCCAACCCAGCTTGCTGTTTTTTGGCTGAGTAGGGAATTGACACAGACCACCTCCGGCTCCTGTCTGGAAGTTTTGAGATCAGAGAGCTTCAGGCACAGCTGGGTTCACAGCTGCACCATTTGGAGCATTGGACTCATTAATATTCATGAGTCATCCCCACCAATCGGCAGAACGGATGCCATTAGCTTAGCATCTGTCGGGTTTTTGTGAGGGTTGTGTATGGAGTTTTTTTTTCCCTTTTTAAATGAACTTCTTTTGACATTTTGGATTTGCCTCTGTAGGTTTTCTCTACTCGCCTTGCTCTGCTGCATCATATAAAGGAGAGACTCAGGGGAGGCGGGCAGGAAAGAGAGATGAGTCCCAGCCAGGGCTTTGCATCTGCCTGTTGACAAACTTTATTTCTCTTTCAGCACCTGGCACCTCAGACAGGCTTCGAGGATGGAAGCAGCATCAGGTAAATTATCCCTAACAAGGTTCATGCCCATACCTGTGAGAAGAGCTGGATCCCGGCTCTCTGGAAGACGATCCTCCCTCCAGTAGTGAACTGGAGCTGCACTCACAATGCAGGAGCTGCAGTGCACAGCTCTGAACCATTATTTCCACGCTGATAAATTCGTGATTTATGAAAGTAACTAGTGCCAGCCTTCATTCCCTCCTTCTCTGCCACAGCTTGTTAGACACAAATTGCAACAACAGTCTTAAATAGTTGAATTTTATTTCAGGCCAAAGCCCCTCAACTCTGAACTAAATGCCATGACAGTCCCACAGCACAGGCTGGTAAGAGAGCGCAGAGGGATGGCCAGGAGGGAGGAGTGGGCGAGAAGAACCACACACAAACCCAAGTGCAGAGCAATGCCGAGCGCCAGCGGCACGCATCCCCTACCAGCTCCGGCTCTCAGCGGAGGGGAATTATGGCAGCAGGAGGGCAGAATGCCTCATTGTCTGACGGAAGGCGCGTTGTTCCTCATCTCCGTCCCTAGAGCCCTCTCTCCAGAAAGAAACAAAGCCTTGCGCCCCATTGGACTGAACATATGGCCGCCCTGCAACACAGCAGAGGGACACTGTAGTGGCTGAAGCCCTGGGAGGCAGGGAGCTGTTACTAAGGGGGAAAAAGGGGTTTCAAAAAAAGAAAGGAGCTCATTCTATCCTGCAGAAAAGATGCTCACGTCTCTGCTTTATAACCAGAAGAGAGTGGCAGCCCAGGCAGCCTTTTCCAAAACAAAGCTCCCTGAGCTGTTTGCCCTTCCTCGGCTGCGAACAGCCACTTCTCTTTTGTGGTGGCCGTGACCTATTTTGTGGGTCTCAGGCCCCTCACAGCCAGGCTGAGGTCTTGGAATATACAGGAAACCCTAGCGACAGGGGTCACAGCACCATTCCATTCAGTGGTATTAGTGGAGGACAAGCAAGGAGGTGGGAGAATAAATACTCACCACCCTGTCCATGCAAGGAGGTAGGCAAGAGGCCAGCCTCCCAGAATCAAAGTGCTGCAGCAAAACAGAGCCAGTGGGAATACAACTACACAAGCATTTCTGCCGGGACAATATTCAGTATGGCAGCTGAAAATCGGCCACTTACAGATCCCCCAAACTAGTAACCTGAGGCAGTGCTCATGGGCCCATTAACAAACATCTCAAGAAACTCAGCTCCCAGATGACTGGACTTGGGCCATGGAAGGGACTGTAAACTCGAGTCCCCAAGGGTCCCAAGAGAGTAAACATGGGACTCTATTCAAAATCAACAGCCCCTGGATCTTATGCTGAATTTATAAACATCTGCATACTGTTTACTCCTATGGAGGAAGTTGAAGGAGTTGTCGTGACCAACCTCTATGCAACCAACCTGAGCAGCGGCAACTGTCAAACACTAAGCAGCCCAACCTCCCCAACTGCCCTAGGTCCGTCCAATCCCACCCAAGTGCCTGCATCCCCTTGCCTGCATCTTCTCTGTCCACTTCAGAGCAGAACCCAGAGCTCAGACCAGAACTCACTTTTCTAAAACTGTTTCTAACTGACTAGGATCCAAAGGTAGAGCGTGGTCCCCTCCCAAAGACCTCCTCACGGGCTGAGGAGCACAGGGTCCTTCATCGGGTCTTGCAAAATCACAGCATGATGGTGAGGTAGGGGGAAGGGGAGGGGGGCTTTCCCAGGAAGGAGCCTCAGAGTCAACAACAGGAGCCCACACCTCAAAATGGTCCTTTTCTTCCTCAGGAGGCGTTGAGGGAGAACTACTCCTGCCCGATCTTGGAAAAAAGCAGCAACTGGAAGAGCGGGAAAGGGAAAAGAAGGGACAGATAAACAAAATGAATGGATAAACACAAGTGAAGACAAACAAAAGGATGGATTATTAGTCAGCCACAAAAAGGAATTAAGTACTGATCCACACTACAAAATGGATGCACCTTGAAAATATACTAAATAAAAGGATCCGTTTGTATGAAATGTCCAGAATAGGTAAATCCAGAGTCACAGAAAGTAGATGAGTAATTGTCAGGAACTAGGGGTTGGGGAAAATGGGGAGTCATGCTAATGGGTACAAGGTTTCTATTGGGGTGATGAAAATGTTCTAAAATTAACTATGATGATTAATAGTTGCACAACTTTGTGAAGGAACAAAAACGACTGAATTGTACACTAAAATGGTGACATTTATGGAATGTGAATTATTTCTCAATAAAGTTATTTTAAGGGCAGGGGGGAGATAAAGGACATAAGAAAGCCTTCTCTTCTTTCTCCCCAGGTTTCTAGAAGAGAGCCTGCTACCCAGGGACGGGTAACACCATCCCTTGGCTTGAGTAAGAGAAGCGCACAGGAGCAGGAGAAGGCCTCTTCTGAAAGACCACCAAGGCTGTGAATTTACTTTCTCTATCAAATGGACACCTCACTGACCCAGGTGACAGTAATCCTAGCTCCTCATGTCTCAAAACAGAGAGCTTTAGTTACCTCTTAGGCTGGTCTCCTTTAGCCAAGTGAGAAGAGCCCTGCCTCTCCTCCTGGGCCCAGCCGCAGTTTGACATAGCGTAGCGAAGGATGGCGTCAGACACGGTCGTGCGGCTTTGGCCCCGGACACAGGCTTCTATCTCAGGCACCGAAAGCTGGCTTTGCAGGAAGAGGTGTAACTGGCTGTCTGACAGGAGGACCACACTCTGCAGGACCCTGGGGCAAACACAGGTAGGACAGCACGCGGCATCACCCTGAAGCTCTGTTCTCCCCAACCCCATCTTCTTTTTTTTTTTTTTTTAAATGTCTTTTTAGTGATTTCAGAGAGGAAGGGAGAGGGAAAGGGAGAAAGAGATAGAGACAACAATGATGACAGAGAATCATTGGTCAGCTGCCTCCTGCACGCCCCACCCTGGGGATCAAGCCTGCAACCTGGGCATGTGCCCTGACTGGGAATCGAGCCATGACATCCTGGTTTATAAGTCGACGCTCAACCACTGAGTCACGCCGGCCAGGCCCCAACTCCATCTTCTGAAGACTCTGGCTTGAGTGAGCATGAAGAGTACAAGAAAAGGGTCCACCCCCAAATGTATGCTCAATGCGCCACCCTGCCTGTCACCTTCCCCCGTCCCTGCCCCTACCTCAGAAGGCAAGGGCTAGCCTGCCATGTTCACTCACTTTTCGAGGAAGTGCTGCAGACCTTGTCGTCGCTTCTCAATGAACTCATCTGAGCTGCCAAAGAAGGTTGACTTCCCAGGAAGTTCCGGTACAGGCCTGTGGAGTCACATAATTTAACACTCAAGATAAGTGCAACATGCAAGACAGTCATATCAGCCCTGATCAAGGACATCCCCTGAAAAGAGGCACAAATCACTACAAATAGCTTTTAATAAGGTGGCAAGGATGGGAAGCTAACAATGACTCACTCCATGCCATGTTTCAAGCCCTACGCTAAATGTTTTACAAACCTTATTTCACTAATCCTTCCAACTCCGTGAGGAAGATATTAGTGTTCTCATTTTACTAGCAAGGAAAAGAATCGGAGCAGTTGAGAAAATTTCCCAGTGCCACACAGTTAATAAGCAGTGGAGCTGGTATTTGAACCAAATCTACAGCTTCAAAACTCCACGCTACTGCCCAGCCTGTGTTGCTCAACCAGCACATGCCTGGGTCGCAGGCTCAATCCCCAGTAGGGGGCGTGCAGGAAGCAGCCAATCTATGCTTCACTCTCCCATCAATGTTTCTCTTTCCCTCCCCTTTCCTCTTCCCAAAAATCAATACAAAAATATTTTAAAATATTTAAAACAGCCCTCACCGGTTTGGCTCAATGGATAGAGCGTCGGCCCGTGGACTAAAGGTTCCCAGTTTCCATTCCAGTCAAGGGCACATACCTTGGTTGCAGGCTCAATCCCTAGCTCAGATCCCCAGCCCCGGTCAGATGCGTGCAAGGAAGGAGGCAACCAACCCATGGGTTTCTATCACATTGATGTTTCTCTCTCTCTGTCTCTCTGCTTCCCTTCCACTCTCTCTAAAAAAAAAATCAATAGAAAAACATCCTCGGGTGAGGATTAACAACAACAAAAACCAGCAAGGCTAGAGATGCCCAACTTTTCAGGGGAATTTCCAACTGGCTTATGAAGGCCTGACCCGTGACAATGGCCTCATCAGTCCCACATGGTAATTAACTGGCTAGGACCTAGGTCATCAACAGGCCATCCGTCACCAGACCATTCTGTGGTGGAATCAGTTTTTAGATTTATTTGGGAGGTATAGGGGAGGAGTGAACAATACTCTTTCTTAAGGCTCTCAGTCTGTTGAAAAGGTCTTTGCACATACACACACACACACACACACACACACACACACACACACGTATCACAATTTTTACAAGTCAAATGGACAGGATCACCACCTGTCAAGTAAGTCCAGGTGCTAAAAAGTTTCTGATAACCAGTGATAGGCACATTTAAAATGCTAGCAGAACATGTGTTTAGCCCTAGACTGATACATACAAAAAAAGAAAGATATTTTTTACATTCCTATGGCACTCTTAGGTCAAAAAACCTAGAAATAAGAACTCTGTTCTTTACTTTTTTTCACTAATTGGAAAACATAATTTAAGAACAGATTTCTCAGTTTCCTTAGGGCCTGGCATGTTGCCACGTTTTCCTCACTGTAAACTCGAATCCCCAAGTAAGCACCTAAAAAGCCAGTCTCAGACCCAAGAAGGAAGCAAGAGCAGACTCACACTAAACCAGCGTTTCTCTGGAGCTGCTTCCGCAGCCACACGAACTCACGGTAGCGGCGACGCACACAGGATGTCTTGGCAGTGAAGGCCTTGCTGTTGGTCTACGGGAGAAAGTACATGAAGAGGACTTAGTGGGAAAAGACCAATATCACACGAACTCCCCGTCGTCGCTCTCACTGAGGACCTAAGCCACTAGGCCCCAGTCCTGATCAGGGGCTCCAACTAGAGCAAGAGGCCACAGGCAGCCTGCCGTCAACTCTCAGGCATACCCCAGCTCTTCTTCCTCTCCTCCCTCCTTTTCTTCCGTCTCGGGCCTGGCAAACATGTCCACAAACAGGTGCTGTCTCAGCACCATCCCGCAGCCCTGGCGAATGTTGATCCCAATACAGAAGTCTGATGCACTTACATGGAGGAAGATCTTATAGTCTACGTAGGAGTTCCAGGAGCCCTCATTCTGCACACGGGGGTCCTGAACACGCACAGTGATCACCTCCTGGAGGCAAGAAATGCTCCTTCAGCTTCGGCTCAACCATACAGCACGGCAGCTTTGACAACTCAGGTTGCCAGATTTTTTCCAAACAGACAGCACCAACCTTCATTCATTTGTCCATTTACTCATTGAATTCAAGAAATATTTATGGACCCATTATGTGTCAGGCACTTTTCTAAGACACTGAGGGTAGAACATGAACAAGAGACAAAAATTCTTGCCCTCCTGTAGCTTACATTCTAGTGCAGTTTAAGAAATGGAAAAGTCAGTCAAAATGGAACCTCATTTCCCAGAAATGCCTTTAGTACTGCTTTCCCTCTCCCGGTTTTATTTTGAGCTCATGGAACCACTTAGGTATTACTGTCAGAAAGATACCACGAAGCAGTGACCTGCCCCCTTTTCCCAAATCCCCTCCAACGTTTGCCCACCTGTTCTGTGGGGACCACATGCTTACCTCCTGCTCTTGGTTCTCCAACATCCTACATCAAAAGCCCATTGCAAGAAAACATCTGAGGAGATGCAAATGACAAGGGAACAGTCATGGTTAGTGTGCTTCTATTCTTATCACTCTTTACCAGGGAAAAAACCTGAAAAACTTTAATGGACCCTCCTGGGGAAAACCAGGCACCTTTTCTCATTCTAACCTAAAACTTAAGAGGAAGCAAAAAAAACTCACCACATTAGCTCTATGACCGTGACAAGCCCTGGGGGATTTGCCTCCCTTTTGAACCCAGGGCCAAACCCTTACGTAGGCCACCTCTAGCCAAAGCGTGTTTGGGTCTGTGCAGTGTCCGCCTCAAGCAACAAGATTCCATCGTAAACCCTTTCTGCCTGAAGACTGCAGGCAAAAAGCAGTGTCTTGTGGGGGCACACAGCACAGCTGTGTGAGTGAGCCTAACATCGCCCCCTCCTGGCTGCTCAGAGACAGCCAAACCCCACCAAACAGCAGTGCTCCTCGTCTCTCTTTGTTGTGCTAAACCACAGTCACCTCCCCAGAGATAAGTCAGCGCTGGAGAGCAAGGGAGCACCAGAATGGGTTGCCCAGTGCTGATCTTCCCTTATCTAATCTGTTCTCCAGAACCCAAGCCAATGGTTCTAATTATCTCCTTGCTGGACATGTACCTCTCAGCCCAGACACCCCACAGCTGCACAGGGCGGCTCAGGATGTTTTCACTCCTTTGTAAAGATTCATTAAAGCCTAAGCTGCCGATTTCCCCCACGGTGGCCGTTTGCATGTGCAGCGACACCGCCCACTCCGACAAGGGGACCATGATGGTGGCAGCACAGGGTAACTCAAGTCCAAAGGGGCCCATGATGTCACCTTCTGTTAAAATACAGCACTAATCTTATTACTCCTAGAACCACTCCCAACAGCACCCACCCTGGCCGCCACCTGCGCCCCCTTCTCCTCTCTTAAGAGCGGAACAATAAGGTTTAATTTCCCTTTTCAATTTACCTTGAAATGAAAACTGACTTCAGCCAATACGTACTGCCAACAAATGATCCCGGCTGGCTCCGGGGAAAACAAGCCTATCTCTAAGATCCCCCTCTCCTCCCCCCATTCCCATTCGCACCCACTCGTTTTTTACATTCCCACAATTAATTTTAAACACGTTCCCTTATTAGTTCTGCCTTACCATTAGGAGAGTGTGTAATGAGTTTCCTTCTATCTTATGTTTTGCTAACACAAGGCAAATGTTTCAGGAGAAGGGAAACTCATTTACACCATAAAATTTGCAGAGCAAAACAGCTTTTCCAATTCTTCTCAGTATACCAGGTCTCTCCACACACAGACACTGCACTCAGAGACAAAACTGCATGGTATGTGACAAAGTTGGGCTACACCATCAAGCCACCCAAAGCTTTTATGATGGCAATACCATCTTAAACAGTATTCTTGCTGACAATCTGCTTTTTCATCGGATGCAGGCACCATTGCAAAGGGGTCCTGAACGGAAAGGTAGGTGCTGCCAATGCCAGAACAACTGATGTGCAAAATCTCTATGTAAGTAGTCAAATGCCCGTGACCAAAAAAGGCCAACTCACTGTGAACAATTAATCTCCTCCGATTTAAAAATATTTCTTTCTCTTTTCTTTTCAGGCATTTGGTAAACTGCCAACATAGGAGCAGGTTAAAAGATTCTGAAGTGTCTTTTCACGAAAGTAACAACAGGAAAGACAATGCCAAGGAAATCATAGCCACCCACAAGCTCGGTGGAGCTCAAACGTCTCCTGTGCCTTGAAAGGTTTGCCAAATGAAGGACTATAATTGAGTAACTAAACGGTCAGCACTCTCGGACTCGAGAAGAGTTGCCTAAGGAAGAGTTTGCACCACCTCCATGTGCAAGTTCCTCTCCTTTCCTTTGGGGCTAATACCAGTTAGAAACAAATAGCTGTAAACTGGCTTTTAAACAAATCCTAGGACCCCAAAGAGGCTGTGTACTTGAATCTAAAATGAGAAGGGCATTAAGAAAGTTTCCAATGTAACTTTCCTTAAAAACACACTGGAACAAATACAAAAACCCAGACGTCAAGTAGTAACTTCTATTCTCCATTAGCTTCCTCCTCATAACGCCACTCCTCAGAAGGAGATGGAAGTTCAGTTCTTTGGAGCGGAAAAGGGAAGTGAACTTTAGCTCTATAATCTGGGAGATGGATCCCTGCCACCCAAATAAGAATAGAGTCCGAAATTATCTCAGCTCCTTATACAACTCAGTGCTAACTCCATTTCTTGGGTCCATTCAATCCCATCTGAAGTTTCCTCCACTTTCTCCACCTGAACCAGCACCAAGAACTCCAGCAAGAACCCAGCTTTTTGCTGTTTACAAAAGTAGATTCTTTGTAAAGCTTTCCAATGTCATAACAATTCAAGGCTTTAGTTCCACCATTTTCCCGCCCATTTAAACGACTCCAAGAGACAGGTTAAAAAAACACACCAACCCGGTGGTAAAAGTATACTGAGCCACGGAGACTTCCATCCCTTCTAACTCATTCTGGAGCCAGCTAAACTCAAAAAGCTCTTCTTCCTCAACACCCACCCGCAGGGGGTGGAAGACGCCTCCCGCGTCGGACCAACCTCCGTGTGTTCTCACCAACCAGCCGTGCTCCATTCTTTTGTCCCTCTGTCATTTGCCGATCCTTCCACTTAGGAGGTAAGTCACAGAGACGACCGCAAGCTAAAACACTTGCCAATACCCATAGGCCTAACCGTTTGGGTAAATGTCCCCAAACCTGTTTATTCCGGCCACACACACACACACACACACACACACACGCATACACACACCCCTTCATTCTTAACACCTAGGAGCAAAGGGCCACACAGTCGTCCTCCTTTGCCTGTTGAGCTTGGAGAGTGGGGAGGAAAGATGCTTTAAACTTCTGTACAAATGAGCAGAAGGCCCTGGCGGGCTAGCTCCGTTGGTCACCTGATATGCCAAGGTTTCGGGTTCCATCCCAGGGTCAGGGCACATACAAGAAGCAACCAGTGAATGTGTACATAAGTAGAACAAAGTGATGTCTCTCTCTCTCTCTCTCTCTCTCTCAAATCAATAATAACAATAACAATAATAATAATAAATGGAAAAGCTGGGTTTCCTCCCCTGGATCCCGAGCAAGTACAGCCTTTACGCAGAAGGTGAGACAGCCCTAGGAAGTCCAGCGAGGTCCCCATCCCCAGCGCCACTACTGCCGCTTAAGCCCGCAGCCCGCACCGGAGCAGGACCTGCCTCCCCGCACGCCCACCGCCCCCACGCGGCCGGCCGCCCTCGCCCCCTCACCTGAGAGCAGCACCCACTCGCCACAGCGCCAGCGCCCCACCATATAGCCGGTCCCCGCTTCTCCTTCCGGGTGAGTGCCGGCACCCCAGTGCACGACGGGAGGCAGCGCCCGGCACGCCAATCCCCGGTGCCCAGGACGCCCCGCCCCCGCAGGCCCGGGCTCTTAGGGGCGATCCCGCTTCCCCCGGAGGCGCGCTGGGTCCCACCCAGGCCCTGGCGGCAGTCGGGGACCCCGAACCATTCATCCGGGTGCTGCCGGGTGGACGCCGGTGAGGGGCGACCCAGGGGCTCTGAAGTGCCATCCAGGGCCGTGCCCCGCCCATCGTAGTCAGACCAGCCAATCAGAGGCCAGGGAGCGTCATTAAAGGTCTAAAAGGAGGGTCCGGGGAGCCGGGGGGTGAGAGGAGGCTGTCACCGAGCTCTTGGTTCTGCAAAGCGTGGTCTTGAGTGTGGGAGGATCGGGGAAGAAAGCGCCCCGGTTCCTGGAGCCCCGCAAAGTCCCGAGAGTCCGCAGGTGAGCCGGGAGAGTTATCACGAAGACCGGGACTCAGGTTCGCAAACCACAGGTTGTCAGAGCGAAAACGCGGACTGAAATGGTTCAGCGACACACGTTTCACTCGCCGAAACAAGCCCAAAGCAGGATGGTGCTGCTGGTTAGTGAGAAAGAACAATCCGTTGAATGCTATGAAGACTTCTTTATGTTGTTGAAATGTTCTTAACTACCAGTTTAACGATTTTGTTAGCAAAGATGATATCAAGGAGAAAGTTACGGTCACCAATACAAGCTCCGGAGCTAAGGGCTAGGTACTATACCCAGCATCACACTGACCCTGTGGCCTGTAACGGGTGGTCCTAAATCTTTGTAAGCCTTAATGTCCTCATCTCTAACGTGAAGATTATTGACATACTTCAGAGCAGCTCTTCTCAAACTTGTTGATCTCGGGATTCCTTTGCATTCTTAAAAATCTTTAAAGACCCCAAGCAGCTTTGGTTTATGTGGGATGTTCACCAAGTTAGAAATTAAATTGGAGAAATTTAAAAGCATTTTTGGGGGGGTGGTGAACACACAATACAGATGATGTATTATAGAATTGTATACCTGAAACCTGTATAATTTTATTAACCGATGTCACTTCACTACATTTAATTTAAAAAAGTTTAAATATTTATTAATTAACCTAAAACAATAACCATTACATGTAAAGATAATATATTTTATGAACTATAACTACACTTGTTAATAATTATTGAGTAGAGCAGTGGTTCTCAACCTTCCTAATGCCGCGACCCTTTAATACAGTTCCTCATGTTGTGGTGACCCCCAATTTCATTGTTACAAATTGAACATAATTAAAGCATAGTGATTAATCACAAAACAATATGTAATTATATATGTGTTTTCCGATGGTCTTAGGCGACCCCTGTGAAAGGGTCGTTCCATCTCCAAAGGGGTCGCGATCTACAGGTTGAGAACCGCTGAAGTAGAGTGACATTGTATTACAATTTTGCAAATTTCTTTAATGTCTGGCTTAATAGAAGACAGTTGAATTCTCTGCTTCCCCATTCTCTGTTGTACTATATTATTTTGGTCTAGGAAATGAAGAAAATCCTGTCTCACGTGGATTTTTTTTAGCCTTCTCTGACTATTGTGGATATCTTTCTTTGATACTAGCAAAACTCAACAAACGGTAATTTCTTAAAGGTTGGTTGCAATGGGGTATCTGAAACCATTTGGGAAATACTGGTTTACTGAGTTATACAGATATTCCATTTTATTGATGCATTTCATTCAATATTTTTAAAAATCACATTTATTAAAATAACCACTGATGTCATCAGTTTTGTGAAGCTGTTAATCTCACTTTGGTGAATACCATATTTCCCAAGTTATCATTTTGGCATGAAAGCTCAAATACTGAAATAGAAATATTTTCCTTGAATGAAAGCTTATTTCATTCAAATATCCAAGTCTGAATAACCATAGTTTTTCTGTCAGTCATTCTTTCAAAAAAAAAATTTGTGTTCTATTATAAAGAGCAGCTAGTCTAACCTACACATCTCAAACAATTGCACAATTGCAGAAGTGCTTTATGTACATCTTCCATTTCATCACAGAGAAGATTAAAAAGACATATTCTAGGAAAGAGATTTCATAAAGTTCATAATTTGTACCATCAAGGGTAGTCTTAAGTGAAAGTGGCCTTTTAATTCTTTTTTTGCATAAGTATAGCAGTGAAGAATGCAATGACTCTGCTATAAGTTGATGCCACGCTGCCTTGATTCATGCTAGGCTGCCAGCAGTTTCACCCACTGTTACTTTTGTACCATCAGTGAAAATGTCAACACGATGGAAAAGATGAAGTAATGTCTTAATATTACCAGGAAAATAATTTTGACCATGCACTGTCAAAACTGTCTCTGGCACTCTCAGACTCCATGGACTACACTTGGAGAACCACAGAGTATATCTGCAGTATGTATCCATTCACTCAGCAAATAGTTATTGAGCCCTTTCTATGAGCTGAGAACTGTTTTTGGCAGTGAGCCAAACAGAAAAATATTCTGACCTCCTGGAGCTTATATTTTAAAGAATATACCAACAGCCCTAGCCGGTTTGGCTTGGTGGATAGAGCGTAGGCCTTCGGACTGAAGGGTCCCAGGTGCGATTCCTGTCAAAGGCACATACCCAGGTTGTGGGCTCGATCCCCAGTGGGGGGCGTGCAGGAGGCAGCGGATCAATGATTCTTTTTCATCGTTGATGTTTCTATCTCTCTCTCCCTCTTCCTTCCTCTCTGAAATCAATAAAAATATGTTTTAAAAAAAGAATATACAAACAAACAAAAAAAGAATATAAGGGCTTAGCTTTGCATCACCCACTTGGAATATTAATACATTTATTAAATAATGTGAGTGTAATATAGGTTTCACAAACAGTTGATCCCCTATCTCGAGCTTATTTTGTCAACAATTTCCAACACTTGATAACAGGGCCAATCCTTATCATATCAGAAATGCTAGCAAATTATATAAGTACCTCTCCAAGCAGTGATCCCTTCTCTTGAGAAAACTAATCAATGTCAGGGATATGGGTGCATGATTTGAGAGGTGTAGGTTTTATTACCATCCATTATTACCTGGCAGTCACGTGAGAATCAGACTGACTGGGCAGGGAAGTAAGAGCTCTTAAGTGTATTTGCCTCTTAAAAGAGTGCTTGTTAATCCCAAATGAATAAATCTTTAACAATAGAATTTCAAAGTAGCAATCAGAATGAAACAAAGACTCACACCCATTAGGATGGCTACTTTTAAAAAAACATTGGAAGCATCTAGAAAGGAGAAATTGAAACCCTTCTGCACTGTTGGTAGGAAAATAAACTGATGCAGCCACTGTGGAAAACAGTACGCAGTTTCTTAAAAAAATTAGAAATAAATTTACCATAAGAACCACTTCTGGGTATGTAACCAAAAGTACTGCAAAAGGTATCTCTCGAAGAATATGTGTGCACCCACGTTCATAGCAGCATTATTCACAATAGCTAAAATGTGGAAGCAACCTAAGTGCCGAACAGTGAAGGAATGGGTAAGCAAAATGTGATATATACATATATATATACATATATACAGTGGGATATTCTTCAGCCTTAAAAAGGGAAGAAATTTTAACATATATGACAACATATATCCATAATGTTCTTGAGAACATTACGCTAAGTGAAACAAGCCAGTCGCAAAAAGACAAATATTATAATTCCACTTACGTTGTTAGGGACAAAAATAGAATATTGGGACTAGCTATGGTTATGGGAAATATTAATCATGCTCTGTTAACCATGATTGCCTAATTCTGGTTAAAGAAAGGACATTCTAACCTGGCTGGGAGTTGTAAGCCTCTAGGACCTGGGAGTCAACCTTGGAATGTGGTCCATTCTCATTCAAGAACTGCCTATTATCATGGAAAGATTAACAACCTTATCACCCAATCAGTAGAATCCCACCCCAGCCTGCATTGCCTACTTCCCCATGCCTGTTTAATGGGTATAAAGTTTCAATTTTACAAATGAAAAGAGTTACAGAGATGAGTGATGGTGATGGTTGCACAACATTATGAATGTATTTAAGACCATGAACTGTACACATAAAAGTGGTTGAGATGGCAAATTATATATATATATATTTTAATATATTTTATTGATTTCAGAGCCAAAGGGAGAGGAGAGAAAGATAGAAACATCAATGATGAGAGAAAGTCATTGATTGGCTGCCTCCTGCATGCCCGACATTGGGGATTGAGCCCACAACCTGGGCATGTGCCCTGACTGGAAATTGAACCTTAACCTCAATGTTCACCCACTGAGCTATGCTGGCCGGGCTTAGCTTACTTTGTAAGACTAACTTGAGTCTCTTGTTTATGCCTCTGGAAATCATAAGCAAAATTTGAACTGTTTCCCAAGATTGATATGAGGTTAGCACTAACCAATTCCCTATCATTTAAGAAAATTCTAGTATTATAACTAATAACTGTGAAGAATAAAGTCATTGCTTTCCCACTAATGTAATGCTTTACAACAATATACCTCTAAGCCTCATTCCATGTTTTGGTTTGAGTGCTCCCAGTTTACAAACTGTCTTTAAATCTGTGTGCAGAATAAATGTTTCCTAATTACTACTTATGATTCATTGGTTTTTCTTTGGCTATTTCTGAACCTTAGACACAAGCACGGTTTCTGCCTATTTCTGTTTCTTTGGGGTGACTGGGTGGAGTGCTTATGAAGATAAGGGGATTCTTTGCTAATGCTATCCTTTGGCACAGCTAATAAAAAGGGTAAATTCAAGATGCCATGATGACACCTACCAGAGGGACCTAACATAGTCTAAAGCAAGCACGTCAAATTCGCAGCCTGTGGGCTGTATGCGGCCCAATAACGAATATTTTTGCGGTCCAGCCAATATAATGGTATGTAAAAAACGTTTTAATAAAAATTTTGTAACTTAATTTTTACAATATCCTGTTACACATAATTATTAATAATGAACTACAATGTTCGATAATGACTGATTACTATAATCGTATTGCATTTATTTCC